TACATTTAGGACAGGACAGAGAGGTAGACTTCAGTGACAATATAAGGTAAGATTTGCGTAGTGAATTATCATGAACGAGCAAGAAGAGGAATCAATATAGTAGATATATAAGAATGATATTTTTCAGAGGACCTCGAAATTAGGCCGACGAGAGTAAAAGGGCTTTCACGATTCAGACCCTGAGTCACAAACCCAACATAAAAGGGCCTAGTCGGCCAAAACCTGGAGTTACGAATGAGAATTCCTAAAGACAAGTTTTCCTAAGGCAAATATCGCATCCAGACTGAAATGAAAAGTCATTTTTCAAAAGTCACATCTAAGTCCTGTGCGAACAGTCAAATCTGAGGCTGAGCAGGGGTCACGTCTGTTCAGTAGATAGTCATAGGTCGCAGGACCAATTTAGTCTCAGTCCCAGAGGTCACATCTTGAGTCAGACCAAAAGACCGTGGGAAAGGTACTGGGACTCACACTTCGCAACAAACAGGCAATTGGCATGCGGTACCAGGAAATTCGGCCAGAGGCTGGCCCAGCCAAGACCAGTCCAACACTACAAAAGACTGGCTAGCCTCCCATTTGGAGATGTTCATTCCTATGAGTGTAGAAGTGCTAGTGCACTTGTGCGCCAGATGTGAGAGAGCTGCGCTGTGCCAGAGAGCAGCGCTGAGTGAGATGAGAGAGAGAGGAAGGTGGACGCTGGCAGCGAAGATGGCAGCCATAGCTGGGCCAGCACTAGGAGGCAATGTAGTTAGTAGTTAGTAGTTAGTAGGAGTAGAGCAGTGAGTTGTATTCAGAGTTGATCCTCATGAATGTGTTAGTTGTACGGAGTGCACATATGACAGAAGAAGAAGACCGTGGAGAGTGAAGACCAGAACCATCAAGTGAGAGAGAGATAAGAGGAGAGAGTGAGCTATAGTAGATACTTACCTGAAGAGTGTTGAACTTGGTGTTGGTAGCAAGCGCTGATGAGCGCAGATGCTGAGACTCTTGATGATCGAAGAAGACTTGTAATCTTGTTGAGCGTTGGACAGTTGAACTTTTCATCCTCTCTCTATAATCTGGTTGTGATATTTGAGTTGCGCTATCTGGTCTACCACTCATCTTCTCTTTGTGCAATGTTTGACAATGCAATCTGTGTGATCTACATGTTGGTGTGAGCACACTATCGTGGTGAGCTTTGAGGCTCATTACATGTCCATACGACCGTTTTTCAGCGCTTCTCTCTCTGAAGCCGGGTAATGGCCCCGGCTATAAGGTCTAAAGAGCCTAAGGCCGAGGGACAAGCCACCAGTTTTGCTGGTGCCCCCCAGGGGAAACAGAGCTTCCCTCCTCGCCAAGGGCATAATTTTTTTTTTTTTTTTTTTTAAAAGGGGTAACTTCGGCGCAGTCACGAAAACAGTTAAAAAATGCACTTCAGGCAATCCACCGAACACAACACACCCCCGTGTGACCACACCGGGCCCGAAACCCCATTTAATTTACCGGCCCTTTTGCCTCGAGTGCATTCTCAAACTCTAACCCTGACTGCGCTGTAGTTTTCTCTTTAAAGAAACACTAGGGAAACTTCATGTGACCACCACACTGTTTTCAGTTATGAACTTATGATGATCAGGTTGCCTTCTGCAGCTGAAGCCAGGTAATGGCAAAGGTATTGCACATACCTCTTGTGTTTTCTCTTATTAAGGGAAGCTGGACCCGGTTTCCAGCAGTTGACGCTCCTGACCAATAGATAGGAGTGATCTGACAAGGGTGCTACAGAGGGATGCTCGTATAGGGGCCGTCTGTAATACCATCGCAAAGGCGAGGACGCCGGACGGGACCCGTTTTGTAAGGACGTTGCAAAGGGGGCCCAGCGGCCCCCTTTGCGAGACAAGGGAGGGTAGGAAGGGGCCCATCTGTAAGACCAGTGCAAAGGGGGGCAAGGGACCCTGTTCGGGAGACCATTGCAAAATGGGGTAAAGGGCCCCTTGAGTAAGACTATTGCAATTATATCCCCCCCCCTTCATACTGTGTCTGGGTAATATAATACCCCTGTTAAACCACCGCCATGGTAGCTCCTTTAAACAAAAAAGAAAAAAAGAAAAAGAGATAGGGCCAGTCTCTGTGGACAGGAAACTAATCCCGACTCAGAGGCTGTTGGATCGTCAATCCAACAGACCGGCTGAAAAAAGGGAATGCATCCTGGTAAACAACCAGTTTGGTCATCAAAGGGGTAATATACTAATATGTCAGTCAGCCTGTTCACTGCATAATTATAGCAACCACGCCTGGCCCATGAGAATTATGGTCTTACAGGGTCTGTATAATACCCCCTGTTAATTGCTGCCATTTTGAATCCTAGAATACCACTGCGACATAAGTTAAACGTACTCGATAAATCATAACACACAAGTGTGCTCGTAGCCTCGTACTCGATAAATCATAACACACAAATGTGATCGTACTTGATAAATCATAACACACACAAACTCACCATGGTTTGCTTATATAGGCGAATGGTCTTATAGTGTTGGATGCTAGTACAGTCAGGGTCATGCTTTCTCAGCATGGGCAGAGCGAGCTTACAGAGGCCAATAATTTGCTTAGGGCGAGGCCCCGCTGGTGCTATCTTCATACCAGGAACGCATGAACCTGCATGGCATTAGAGAGGGATTTTTTTTCTTCTTTTCTGTTTTTCCTTTGTTTTTTTTTTCTAAGAAAAGGGTGACATCCTTGAGATATTATCATCATGATACTGGCTGGCCCTAGGTAATTCAGAATTGTAGCATTTCACTCATCTGCTTCCAGTGGAGTTTGAACTCAAGTTTGTGTTTCAACAGTTAAGGGGTGTACCAACTGAGCTTAGGCTCATGCTTCCTAAGCATGGACATAGGACAGGCAGGGCCTTACCTTTACTCCATCCCAGCAGAACTCTGTGCAGCAAGCAAACCAGCTAGACCATTGCTCTCTGTGCCAATGGTTTGTGTGACCCATCTCTGGACAATGCTCCTTCTTTTCTCTCCTCCTTTTCTTTTAACCTTAACTTAAGCTTGTCTTTCCCTTTTTGTACCTTTGAAGCACCAAGTCAGCACACATCTTCATCCCCAATGTGCGATCATTGAAGGAGTGCATGCCTTACATGTACTACACACATCATATTACGCACACCGGTACAAAACATACTCTTTGAAAAAGGGTGAAAGCTGACGTAGATTTCACAACTTGGGAATGCCTGCATGTCATCACCGCGCCACTCTAAACCCTAAACCCGAAACCCTAACCCCCCCAACGTCGAAACCGGGAACCCTAAACCCCTAAGCCCTGAACTTGTAAACCCCAAGCCCCCAAAGCCCTAAAACTGAACCCCACCACAAAAGTGAGATCGCTTGGCAGGTTGGCAATGCATTCATGTCACCATCAAACCTCTTTAAGCCCTAGACCATGAACCCTAAAGGGCCTAAACCCTAGCCCCACCGGAAAGGTGAGTCTGCTTCCGATCATGGTAGTCTAAAGCCTAAACCTGAAATCCACCAGAAAGGAGGGATAGGTTCTGAAGTTACGCATTCATGCATTGTGAGCATAAAACCATGCTATATAATAGTCCATACCCTGGACCTATTTTGCCGCAGTGCCACCAAAAAGACGGCACAGGCTCCCAAGTTCCCGAACTCTCTAAAATTCTGAGCCCTGAACCTTTAACTCACCGGTAAGGGGTGAAAACACTCTAAAGAATCCATGCGTGTCGATGTGAAAACACTCTAAAGAGTCTAAACCCTAAGCCCTTAACTAACCAGGGTCAGATTGCCAAGGTGGGACAGATTTCTCGAATCGGATATGGAATGCAGTTAGATGCATGTATGTTACCAGGAAATCGTTCTCAGCACCACACCCTAAACCCTAAACCCTAAACCAAAAAGGGGCTGAGACAGGGTCTTACCCTGCGGTGTTACAGTAGTAGCGCAAACATGTTGTCGTGAAGCCACTCTAAACCCTACACCCTAAACCCTAAACCCATCAGAAAGCTGTTTGACAGGTTCCCATGTGATATGGGTAATGCTCACATGTCGATCCCAGACCCAGTTTTTAACGGCGTCCACCAGAAGGCAGGGACAGGTTCCGACGTTGGTACTGCACAAATCGACGGTCCCAGTTGGGAGTGGGACAAGAAAGATGAAACAGGCGCAGCAGGAGGTTACCGTAGTGTTGAAGGAACAGAAAGAAAAGAATGTTGATGTAAAATTCATCACGATCATGGTAGAGGATAACGATATTAATGAACAAACAATCTTAGCAACATGGAAAGCTGGGCGGCAAACCTCCTCTCCTATTAAACACCTTTTTTTTCTTTTGTTGGAAAATTACCAAAACCACAATACTAGGAGGGGTGGTACAAGCATCCTCCTCTAGTACCAGTTCCGTTTGCTCCAATCTATTAGTGCCTCTACAAAACACCTACCTTCCACCTTTGGACAAGAAGATTCCTACAAAGAAAGCAATATCTTCCTCTTCGTCATTGTCCCATGCGGATTTCTTCCACTCCCGTGTCCCAACTACATGCATTTCATCCTTTCCTTGGTGCTCATGCACGTGAAAATGTGTACATGGCATCATGGGACCACATGGCACCACATGCACCACACGGCACCGAGGGAAACCCATGAAACCATGAGATTGTGTGCTTATGAGATCACACTCTCATCAGAGGCCGAGCTACAGCCTTCCCCCGATGCATGCTCAATTGACTGTATCATACTAGAAGATAGGTTATATACATTGATGATCAGCGTGCATTGATGCATGCTCAGTTTGACTGTATCATACTAGAAAGCTAGGTTATATACATTGATGATCAGGGTGCATTGATGCATGCTCAATTTGACTGTATCATACTAGAAAGATAGGTTATATGCATTGATGATCAGGGTGCATTATGTTAAGGGGAAGACGGTCATGACCACCTCTTTCAGAGTAAGGAAGACATGCATGCTTCATGCGACATTTTACAGCATATCATTACAGACGCACATGTAAGCTAAGCCTTAGGGTTTTCGAGAAGATCGCCGAAACCACTCGACACGCATCCTACCGACTGTCCTACTAACACAAGCTACACCAAGCCTTACCTTGCCTTCTTAAATGGCCAAAACCTTCTTCCACTTGCTCGATCACTACTATCATTCCTAGCATCACTGCTAGTTACACCTCCAGGCACATCTTTTCTTTTTGTGCGTCTTCCTCCCCTTCCCTCTCCTCTTCCAACTCCTCTTGAACCTGATCTACCTACCCCCTCCCTCACCTTTGTGTCGATCTCAATTCCAGCAAACTCATTCTTGCCATTCTGTCCTGTCAGTGCCAGCGGTGTGCCGCCTACATCCTCCTCCTCCTGCTCTTCTTCCGTTTCGTCAACACCCTCTTCGGTTACAAAGAGTTGTGCATCATCCGCATCGCCGCTGAGCAGACGCCCTTTTTCTTCCACATCGTCCAATTGGAGGTGTGGTTTACGCTTACCTGGTAATTTACCCTTGCCAGCTGATGCAATGGTGTCTGGAAGCATATCTGCTGACCGGATTCGCCAGTCCAGTGCCCTCGCCTTGTACTCACGCGTAAATTGTGCTTTCGTCTGAGGCGGGACATCATCCATGTCCTTTCTTTTGCCATGGTGACGCATTTCGAGCATCGCCTGGATATCCTCGTCTGTAAGCGAATACTCCTCCATGAAGTCCAGAACCATACTCACTCCGACAACTTTGTCACACTCTCGAAGTGGCCGTACCAGTCTATCCGCAAATGCAAACATGTAGTCTAGTCGCAAAGCTTCCTTGGTTGGTTTACACGCACCAGAAGCCATCACGTGAACATGCACATCATCCAGCAACCTTGCATTCTTTCCAAATGTGGCATTCTTTCCTAACCAAGCAGGGAAACGATTCATGTATTGTCCAGCTTCAAGTGGCTCCCTTTGCCCATGCATCAGTGCCGCAACGTGGACTGTTGATGCGAATGCAGCGAAGGGCATCAATGCCCACTTTTGTGAACGGCGCACCTTTTTGTTCACGATATCACCCGCAACGATGCTGTCAGCTGCCCTGGAGATCAGTTCCATTCTCGTCGTTCCCTGATCGTCTTTGCCAGCCATAGCCGGTCGGTAGTTTAGATAGTTCTCGGCAGCCATCAGCGGAATCAGGTTGGGATCCACCATAGCCAGGTCCTGCCTCTGGTCTAATCGCATGCGCCCTCCATCAAACGAGAACAACCTATCAACCGCCGTAAAGGCAGTCAGATCTTCATCCTTTGCGCTTGCCACAAGCCTCGCTCGCATGTCGGTAAACTTGATGACCTTTGACGATTTCAGGCTCATGTAATGCAACTGATTCAGTGCCAATCGCATATCGCCGTTCACACGATCGCTCAATTCTTCGAGAGCAACGTCATCAACCTTCATGCCTTCCTTGAGTGCAATCTGTCGGAGCCGCTTCGTCATTTGTTGTTTCGTTGGCCTTCGAAATGCAAGGTGCATGCAGTAGTTAATGAGGGATTTCAGTTTTGGACTGTACCGATCATTACAAATACAAATGATTGGTATCTTGCTTGCACGGATTGTTAGAATCAAGTCAGCGATCCCACCTCTGTCGCCTCCAGACATTCCATCCACCTCATCCATGATAAGCAGAATACTCTTTGCTTGCTGCCTCCCCCCTCCACCGATGGAAAGAGGCCTGCTGCTCACCAACTCCTTGATTGCATTGCTCATCTTCCCAGCAATCCCGCTGCGAATGCTGGCGTCAGCCTTGCTCCTATCATCACTCGCATTCACCTCCACTGCATCCAGTCCAATATCTTGGGAAACAAGCCTGGCTGCGGTTGTCTTCCCGATCCCTGGTGGTCCACTTAACAGCGCAGCCTTTCTACCAAAGTCCGCCCTAGTCGAGGAACTACTCACCTTCTTGCTGCCGCCACCTTTTCCCCTTCCGCTTCCACCCTCTCCTTCTGATCCTCCTGCTCCTCCAATGCGGTGATTCTTTTCCCAGTTCTGCAGCCAGTCACGCAACTGTCCAATTAACGACTGGTTTCCTACCATCTCACTGGTGTTCTTTGGCATGTACTTTGCCGGCCATGCAACCGACTCTGCCGCGCCTGCGACAGCCGGGAGATCGGCAGCTGCATCATCTGCCTTCCGCGGACCAGATTTCACCGTGCTCTTCCTGTGCGGCACCAAGCGTCGAGAAACATCTCCATCACTGCTCCCTTCGTTCCCTCTCCCTTTGTCGATCCCCTCTGGAACAAACTCTTGACCCTTGCCTTTGTTCACAGATGGCGCTGCCTTTCCTATACCCAGCGTACCAATGGGCTTGAAGAGCAAAGGTTCATGTGCACTCGCCGAGGGAAAGACCTCCTCCTCCTCCGCAGCTTTCGAAGTACTTGTACTCTCCGCTGATCTCTTCACCGATGCACGAATCATGTCAAACAGCTCATCCTCTTTCACAAATATGACTCCAAGCTCCTTCGCCTTCTGCGATTTCCTGCCGCCGACATCTTCATCGGCAAGAAGGAAACTGGTCTTCTTGCTCACCGACGACGTAACCCGCCCACCATGGCTCTTAATCAGTACCTCTGCCTCCTCCCTCTCCAAACTGTCAAGTGTTCCACTGATAACAAATGTTAGCCCTTTCAAACAGGTTTCATCTCCTTGAGGGATCTCTTTCTCTCCTTTGTGGGGCGGTGGAGCCCGTGGCTTCCCAAAGAATGCTCCTCTTCCGCCAACCCACCCTCCTCGCCCCGCTGCTGCTGCCCCTCTCCTCGCAGTAGGAACTGCGGCACCTCCAGGCTGCGCCGATTCTTCGACAACCCTTCCAGTGCCTTTACTGCCACGATGTTTCTTCGGCGAGGGTTCTTCACGGCCATCATGTTTCTCTTGAACCTCCTCTGAGTCACCGTATGCTTCATCATCTTCAGCACCATGTGCGCTTTTCCGTTTGCCTCGTGCTGTATCGGCATCAGCGAGAGTCTTCTTGGGCGTCGGTTTCTTCTGTGGTGAAGATTTTTCCTCGGGTGTTACGCGGGTACTTGCCCGTGATGAAGGGCTCGAAATTGCCCTCGCTTGTTTGGATGCTGTTGGGCTCACTCTCGTAGCCCCCACTCCATCGTCTTTATTCACAGCCTTTCCATCATCTTTGCATTCAATTTTGTCAGTAATTGCTGCCTCCACTTTTTTGATATCGTCCTTACATGTCTCCCCGGATGCGGTGAGGCTGCTCGTCTGGGACGGAGCCTCCTTTCTAGTTTGCCGTACAAACCACTTTCGAATATCACCGTTCTTCATCGTGTAGAGCTAGAGTACAGCAAGAAAAAGATCAATCACCTGAAGCTAGGAACAAACTAGTTGAGTTCACCGCACACCGAACAAACTACCAGTGTTCACACCAAACAAACTAGCAGTGTCTCTGGCGGGGACAAAGTCCTCCTTATGGGTATTCCTTTGGCACCAAGCCAAGCCACCTGGCTTTTCCATATGGCTACACCTCAAGCCTCGATATCAGACCTAAGACGACGATTGATCTGTGATTGGTTAAGAGACTTCACAAAGCGAAGATTGAACACACGATAAAAAAAAGACAGACAAAAGTTTTCAAAAGAGAAACGTCTTTGATCTACAGCAACTGTTCTCAGAAAAGAGCATTGGAATACGAACCAACTCGTGGTGTGTCACTTTATCATAATTGTACATCTGCACCAGAAACACAGCCTGGAGAAAGTAGGTTACATTATCCTCAGCTGGAGGTTCTCCTTATCGATCTCAGACTCCTTCCTTACACACGCTTGAGCACTTTGTGTGTACCAACCAGCGGTTTTACCCTTGCAAACCTTGCCCAAGTCCTGCACATATACATCCAAACATCATTGTGAGAATTTGTGACCAAGGTTAAGCCCGCAGGGTTAAGCTGAGTCTAAGTTAACCCAGATAAGACCCACTTACCTGATGTACAAGGTTAATACTCACTGTTACTCGTGTTCAGATCCCGGCGTCTAACTTAAGAACCAAGGTGCAGGTCACCTGGTCAAGACCCAGGTTAAGACCTAGTTACCAGTATATACCTACCTAAGACCCAGGTACAAGTGACCTGCCATTTCTTCATGCAGGCTTATCCAAGAGAAACTAGTTTAAGATTCAGTTAAAACTGACCTGCCAATACTGCAGAGATGCTCAATACCTGAAGAAGTGGTGCATCAGAGAGTTGCAGAATTCATAAGCAGTCCGTGGAGAATCAACCAGTTGCCCAGTGGCAGTGTTACCTGGCCAAAGCCTCATTGGAACTCATCTCACGACAGCCCACCATGGTACAGCAGCAGACACTTCACTTCACGCCTCTCTCTCTCTCTCTCTCTCTCTCTCTCTCTCTCTCTCTCTCTCTCTCTCTCTCTCTCTCTCTCTCTCTCTCTCTCTCTCT